AAGTGCAACCTTTAATCCCCATTGCCCAGTTTACTAGAAACATCTTCGATATCCTCTTTCACCCTCAGTGGAGTTGTCCCGTGTCCCCGTGTTTTAATTATAAAATAATGTATGTTTAATATTACTTGTATGCTTTAAATTATAAAATGTTCTTAAAATTCATTAATTTTAATTTAAAACTATTCTTTTAATATTGAAAATACAGTGAATTCTTCGACATTTTTTTCTTGTTTTCCTTGCAATTTTTCTTTCTTTCTTTCTTTTTTGATGGGTAAGATATATAAAATAAACATATATATTAATTTAAAAAAAGGGTGTGAATAATTATTTTTTTAATATAGAGTGCTTATGAATTTAAAATTTGTTTTATGTGGTTTATAAAGTATATTAAAAGATGAACCTCTCTCTAACGATATTTCCATATAACGAACTTTTTCCGGGATTTAGTGACTTCGTTATACATTATACAGTGGTCCGACTGTATATATATTTTTTTCCATCCTTGTTATGAAAACAATCCATCGCGCATATTCTTGATTCTCTGCCTATTTCTGACATAAGCGTGTTTTGTTGTGGACAATATGAGAATACGTAAAACCGAATTCACATCCAATTATGCATGCAAAGAGGCTACTCATTTTTTTTCTCAACTGAAAAAGTTTGGTCGTATTTTCCGGAAGACGTACTGTCTGTGAATTTGAGATTAAATTTTTCAATTTTATTTAAGTATCAACACATGTTTTTTCTTACCTTGCATATCATTAATAAATGGGGGTTTTTTTTTTGCAAAAATTACTTTGTTTTCTGATATTTCCAATTCGCTTTAAACATCATTTTTTTTCATTCATTATATTTTTTCATGAAGGTATCAAGCTTCTTTAAATGAAAAGTAAAAGCAATATAGTTTCAACTTGAAACAGATATGTGCAGAAAATAAAAATTCTAATGCATCAGATATGCATTGATGCATAGATTTTAAATAGATATTTCAGGATTTTTTTTACATAACGAGTTAATTTATATATAGGAGAGAAGCGACTCACTCACTCTCACGAGATCTCCGGAATTATTTGACCAACAAATCGAAAATTTGGTAGGGAAGAGTTTTACGAAAGTTCACTCTCCCAAGAGGGTTGCGGTGGCGTTATAGACAAAATTCAAGCTTTTGAACTATTAGACCTATAGATATGGAATTGGGTAATCATGTTTCTTTTATTGAGTATAAATACGATAAGTAAGGTTATTGCGGAAATCATCTTCCATTTGGGATTGCGAGGGAGTTAAGGACAAAAGTTCATGTTTTTGAGCTATTAGTCTTAACGACATGAAATTTGATAAGCATGTTTCTTTTATTGAATATAAAACTGATAAGACCTGGTTTTGCGGAAATCGATTAGTAAGGGGTGGGGATAGAGGTGTTATAGATAAAAAAAATATCATTTTTGAACTAATAAACCTACAGACTTGAAATTCAGCAAACATATTTTTTATTAAGTAGAGATACGCTAAGAACAGGTTTTGTGGAAATAGAATCCCAAGGGGCTTGTGGGGAGACATATAAAAAAATTCCCCAGTCTTTGAACTATTAGACCTAAAATTTGAAATATGACAAGTATATTTCTTTTGATGAGTACACATCCGCTAAAAATGGGTTTTGCGGAAATTTAATCCTAAGGGGGGAAATAAGGGGGTGTTAAAGATAAATATGTTTCCGTTTTAGAAATTCAAGGTTTATCCTTTTTAAATCAAGAGGCGAGGGCCAAATAACATTGCTTTTTCAATACAACCGAAAACTTAGCGCAAGGAATCAGGTATAACTATAATCTTAAAAAACATATAGTCATACAACATCTTTGAATATCCAGTGAAGCGAAAAGGTTCTTACAATGTTAATCGAATAAATAATTTTTTAAAAAACTATTCCTTCAATAACTAAATTATAGTTTTGTTGTGTGATTTGGCAACATGGATTTTGCGTAGAAATTTAGCTTCCGCTGCAATATTTTAACGAACCTAAGTTATTCTGAAATAAATTGCTTTAAACCTGTGGTCCCCAACTCCCGAGCAGCGGGCCGGTACCAATCCGTAGATCATATGGTACCGAACCGCTGAAAGAACATTAAGCTATTTCCCTTTTATTTACTATGGTGCATTTCTCTTGGATTTGTGGGACTTTCCCCTAATACCACTTTATATTCCATATTAAATAATTTTACATTCATTTTTGGTATAATTGTGTTTTTATTTTGAAGGGATATTTAAATATAATTGAAATAAAAATTTTGAGTGAAATAACCTAAAATATAAACACTGCTTTAAAATAAATGCTTAAAAAGTTTTTCAGCTGAGAGTTTCTTTGAATTATAAGTTTTAGGTGCACTAATTTATGTGAGTATGTTGCGGCTTCATTTGGGCTTACCCCCATGATAATTTGTAAGTTTACTTCCAATTATTCAAAATATAAAGTAAAAATATGACTTCATAATTCTTTTTCATCCTTCCATCTGAATTGCTTTTTTTTCAATTCACCCGTGCGAAGAACAGATACACCCTGTATAGTTATCTATAGTCACTAACATTATATTGGATGTACAGTTTCATAAAAATTTATTGAAAGCTTGAAATCAATCTTTTTCTTAATTCAACAGGAAATAATTCAAACTAAATTGCACTATGAATATGCTTTCTTAATTTGTACTATAGTACCTAGGTTCGATCATAGGGCTCACAAAAAATCAGATTGAGAACTTAAACGTTTTTTCATTCATCAAGTATAATTGTAATTCTCGACAGGAAAAATAAAAACGAGATTTGTAACGTTTCCCGTCAACCAGCTGAAAAGTCGGCTTCTTTTTGTAGATAGGATAACCGCGTTCCTATGCACCCGTGCATCCTTAAAATATTGCTAGGTCTTGTCTTTGGTCATCATCCCGGCAACCTTTGACACCGTGAGAGCCCCTTACTACACCCACAAGACAAACGTAACTCATGGATAAAGAGGCCGACTGCTACCGCAATCTCCCTCACAAACAACAGAGTTTGGTCTATAACGAACTAACTTACCTTTTAATAACTTTAATGTATATACTGTAATTAATAACTGTGATGTAAATAAACCAATTATTTAAATTAATAAATATCACGCAGCCATTATTTTTCTCAAACGTCACAGTGAACAAAATGTATAAATTTTTAATAAGAGTATACAAGCGCACAAAATGCAATTACTACAAAGTCTCATCGACTCGATTTACTAACGTTAGCGACATATAAACAGAATTGCAATGTGTCCTATAAATCAGTGCTCCACAACCTTTTTATCGCTGCGGACCGGTCAACGTTTGATAATTTTACCACGGCCCGCTGAGGGTGGGACACGTTGATTGTTTATATTTTAGATTGTTTTGGTTCAACAATTTTAATTTAGTTACATTTAAATATGCCTTCAGAAAAAAATATAGTTACACTAAAAATGAATGAAAGTGATTTAACGTGGAATATAAAGTGATTTCTGTGGAAAGTTGCGCAAATCCGAGAGCGATGCACCACTTTAAATAAAATGGCAATAGTTTAATGTTCTTTAGACGGCCCAGCACCATTAGATCCACGGGCCGGTACCGGTCCACGGATCGGGGGTTGCTGATCACTACTATAAATGACTTAAAGTGAACTTATCTCTCTTCTATCTTTAACTATCGCGTTATCTCCTCTAAAATGAATTGGAATCTAAGGCAATAAAGCAAGTTATTCGTTTACATTTTAGCTAAGATTTCGAAATGAAAACATTCACTTTCATTTGGAAATCTTTTTACTTTTGAAGGACGGGAACATTTTTTTATGAGTTTCTTACTACAAGTGTAAATTGCTTGGGAAATCTAAAGCTCGTTAAAAATATGACCTAAATTTGAAGACTTGCCATAGCACGACCCTAAAAAAAAGGCAGAGTTAAAAAATGAGTAGTTAGGGTATATTTTCCAAACAGCTCCAGTTTCATCGTTCGGTAGGAATAAAAACAAACCTAAATTACAAACAAATCAAAATAAACCATTAAAATATTTTCTCACTGAGAAACAGCAAATATTTTTGTCATTTGAAACTTCTATAAAAATGAGAGAACTCATTACAACCCGACGAAACAAGGACAGTATTTGGATTGCTCTCCCTTAAAAAAACAAATTTGAGTTTCATTTTTTTTGAGGGGGGAGAGTGAAACAATGCGACGAATCCAAATAAACAAGCAAACATTTTTTTTCCAAATTTCACACGGGTGTTGCGTAACTAACACACTTTTCCATGCAAGTCCGATGGGGTTGTCATGTGGATGACCCCTCCCCAAGAAATCGTTTTGTTCCGTTTGGCCAGTGCAGCGTATCAGAAGGCGTTGTCCCTGTTTCCTGAAGAACCAGGCACATGGGTTTTTGGAGAAAGTGCTTCTCCCATTTCTCAGTCGATCACCGATCCGCATTAAGGGAACATGTGCTCCGTGCAGTGAAGGAAAGGAATAGCAATGTGGAGCTCAATAGCTGCTCGGATAACTGTTATTGCGGTGAGTGACTTTGTTTTCTTTCTACTCTCCAATGGAGAGACTTGCGGTTTCTGCTGCTTGATTGAGGCTTAGACACATAAGAAGAAAAGTCGAATTTAATTTCTTATTTATTAACATCTATCATTTACATTTAGGATCCTCATTTGTTCAATAGCTATACACCCACTCACCACAGCCCAGTTTTCAATTCCTACTATTAGTTCACACTCTCCTCATATATATATATATATATACATATAAATCTTGTTCAAATTTTCTTGTTCAAATGTTAGAGTAAAATACTTTTTATTCATCCACTCCAGTTCAAATACATTTTTTAAAATTTCTAGTGGATGACACTTGTTGTTAATACAGTTTTTTCAAAAAAATTCATTAATTATATTTAATCAATGAATAAATAGTAACAAAAAATAACAGTCCAACATTATACAAAAAAAGAAAAATCGCTCGTTGTGACCCTGTAGCGCAATGGATAACGCGTTGGACTTCTAATCCAAAGGTCGTGGGTTCGAATCCCATCTGGGATGGCCTAATGTCTGAGCATGTGATTTATTTTTCTTTTCTATTTTATTGCATTGATTAAATTTAATTAATAAATAAATAGTGACAAACACAAAAACACCATATACAGACACCATAACAGAAAGGAAAATCGCTTTCTACTTTGTCACTTAATATTCTGTTATATGTGTATACATATTTATATTAATTGTAATTATTTAATAAAAAGTAACTAAATGAAAGTTTTCTTTGTTGACCTAAGTAGGAATTGTGACTTAAATTATTTTTATATTACTTATTCACTAATGGCATTAAATGATTGTCAATTTTTGCTTGTCACATATCCGGGGCTGCAGAGACGAGAACAGAGCGGTAAAAAATATAGGGGCTCTCTTAAAGCACTCATCAAGTTGACCTTGAGCTGTGTAATCCATAAAATTAATTGAAATGTTTAGTTGAAAATCCACTGAAATACTTGATAACTAGAACTTGATTACAAATTAATGTGGCCTTGGAATTACTTTTTTCCTTTTTGCATTTAAATATACTCAAGGTTCTGTACCGCAATCATTACTAGGCGTTTGGATTCTTTCAGTGACCCTTTTAATATTTGAATATGATATTAGAACAATTATATTAGAATATTTTTTAACATAGAGTTTCATGAGCTACTACAGAGATTTTTGATGATGTATTATTTAGCTCATTTCGTCTTCCACCCCATTCATCAATATAAGATTAAATTTTGCATTTCGCTTACGAAGCTTATGACTTCCATACCGAGATATATTACTTTAAATAATACAGTTTATCTACTACTTGACTAGAATAAATAAGTATTCTAAATTTTTGCTTAAGAATGCATGAATAAAGAAATTAAAGAAACAGCAAAATAAAATAAATTACAAAATGTGAAAAGTTATATCAAATGGAAGTGCATATAAATAAATTATATGATTGACTCAATTCTCGATAAGGATTTTTTCTATAAAATATTTTTAAATTTGTGTTACAATTTTAAATTTTTTTTGTTAAATTTGTGTTTGAATTACAATTCAAAAATATCGCAGTAAGAAATACTAGAAATGTTATGTAAAAAAATTTTGTAAAGAGAAACTTGTATCCACTCAATTGTTGTGAGAATTTTAAATAAGTTACCTTCAGATATTATCCAATTCGAAATATAAATACACCAGATCATCATTAAAAACTGGTATAAAAAAAACTCAAAATATTGCAAATGTACAAGTTATGTGTCTAATATGTACTGCATATACACATGTGTACATGGGAGAGTGTGCATATTTGTGAATATCTTAAATAAATTTAATTATATATCTTTTTACAACATTGTTCTTGAATTTATTATATGTTTTTTCGATTTGTTCTTTATTCGATTTGAGTTTTCTGTAAAATTGTGTATTTACTTATTTCATGAGGCTTATAAAAGATTTTGATACTCAATTAACGAGTAAAATATAATTATTTTAATTTATTCTCTGTACTGTAAACAGAAAGAGGAAAGTTGACTGGCATTTGATTCTGGTTTAACCCCCTCCCCCACCTTAAAGAAGTTGCTAAATTTAACGTCCCTCATCTATTTTGAATTTTTTTTAGTGTTTCTTATGCATTGTCTATTATAGTGCTGGACAAATCTTAGTTTGGGTTTCTCTCTCTCTCGCTGTAGAGGAGGCCGTTGCACATTAAATCTGTCGAGACTCAAAAGTCCTATCGTTGGTGTGGTGTGGTAGTTAGGAGAGGTGGGTACCAGCTCAGCGAACGTACTCATCACTTGACCATGATCCAAAATTGTGAGGTCAGTAGCCAACAAACCTCGTTCACAGTGCATAACGGAGAATATTAGCCCTCTCCCCAGCAAAGTCAGGTTTTGGGCCCCAAACCGGATCTTACAAAGGGTACGCGTACTTGAAGTAACTTACTCAGAAATCCTTACTCCAAGCCCATTTTTTTCTAAATAAAATATCAAAATTAATTTCCAAAAATATAAATGCCTATAAATCCAAGAGCATAAAAAAGTTATTACTTTGCTTATAGAAGTATGCAATAAATTTAAAAATATGAAAATTAGTTTGTAAAATTTCATTTGTTTAAGTTATTTTTATTTACAAGAAAAAAAAACTTGGAATTTTGTAAAGATATTTAAGTGTGCTCTAAAATTTTTTACTCCTAATTCACCAGCAAAATAATACATATATTTATTATGTTTTAATGTTTATAATATTGTTCAGGATAACTTAAAAATTGCTTTTTTGATACAAAATTTTCTGCCGTTAATTTGCTTGATTTATATTTAAAGAGTGAGCGTTAAATGATTTCCATTCGTTTTAAAAGACCCACCATTTAGAAGCAATCAAAAGGCATGTTAAATCTGTCGAGGTTGATGTAGTGTGGAAGTCCCGAAAATGGGGTACAAGCTTACGTGTCTTCCTTGTCACTTGATCATGATTTCAAATAACGATGTCTGTCAGTAAGTTCTATTGTAGCTTCGATCAGTGAAGTTAGTAAACTATTCATGCATGCACTTTTACCAGGTTAATTTAATTTTTAAATGACGTTTTTTTTCTTACTGATTTTTTAAATAGCTTTAATATTTTTTAAAATAAATTAAAACTTAAAAATATTTTGATCATTGTCTTACAAATAAATAGAGCATTGTAAAATATCCAAAAGATGAAAGAAAATTTGTTTGCGTCTCGTAAGAAATGACAGACTTTGAGAACGAGTAACACAAAAACATTTTTTAGTTGAAAGTACTTTTTATTATTATTTTAGATAATTAAATATACAATGAGTTTATTTATAGAAGGTATAATGATTTTTTCGTTTAATTTTAATTTAATTCCATATTTTAAAGTAAGGATTCGATTTTTTTTCTTTTTCGAGAAATTACAATATTTAATTCGTAAATTATATAATTTTATAAAAATATAAAAGTATATAACTAATTAAAAAAGAGACAAACTCTATATATTCTTTAATAAGATTAGTCTAATCTTTGAAAGGAAGTACTTGAATTACGATGGAGGAAATAGATTAGAGCATATCTATTTTTCAGTTTACGTTTAAAACAGATATAATTTTTTTTATCTAATGTGTGAATTACTTAAAAATGTGCTACTATTTCGTTGAAATTCTTCACTTTGTATCAATGAGGATAATTTGATATTATTAAAAGAGATCAGTGGCGCACACAAGGGGGTGTTCTAGTTGTCTGGAGCTCCCCCTCCAAAGCCCTTAATTTTTTCCCGTTTAATTATAATTCTAAGTATATAGTACGTAAAATGTAATTATTTGTTATTAACGATTAAATTTATTAATTAATGCTAATTAGTTTTTTACTGTTTTTTGTTCCCGAAATTCGACAAAATCAAAAGGAGCATGATACAAGAATGGTGGACTTTCAACCCTGGACACCCCACCCCCCCTGAAAAATTCCTGAGTGCGCTACTGAAAGAGATACATACCGTATTCACTCGAATCTAAGACGCTATCGATTGTAAGCCACACCCACAATTTTCTACACGTTTTTGAAAAAAAAATAAATAAAAACATGTACAAAAGGTTCATCAATACATCCGATGCTTAAAAATTAAAAAAAATAATGAGAAACATAATATAAGTTAATTATTTACTTATTTTACCAAGTGTCGGTGTCGCCATTTTCTCACACGATGGGAGTCGTCTTCCGTGCCATCCAATGCATTTGCCATGCAACGTTGTTTTAAAAAAATGGTTTTTTTTTTGAAGAAAGTAAAAGAATAATAAAAAAAAATACAATTGAGAATATTTGCGAGAAAAAATTATATCATTTTTTGTTTACGCCATCAATGTATATTTGTTTCATCCGTGTCAAATTTTCAGTGGACGCTGCTCTGTTTCCGTTTTCCTGCAAATAAAACTGCCTCCTTTGTCACACTTGGGTCATAGTGAACTCGTATTGATGCCATTACCGATATCTTTGTTTCGTTGATTAAAAAAAATCACACACACACACTTCCTAAATACGAGCAGACAACAATGTATAGGATAGACTGAATACTGGAGATAAAATGCTGAATGGGAAAAGTCTTCAATGCAAGTATGGTTACCTTTTTCCTTTTGAAAAGGGTGGAAACTCAATTTCCTCCATCCAAAAAATGTTTTGCCTTGGATTCTAAGCCACAAGGATTTTCAGTAGCATTAACATCGGAAAAATAGTGTGGCTTAGATTTGAGTAAATACGGTATTCGAAATTAGAGGTTATAAAAATAGATATATTTAAAAGAGACAGCATTCTAGTATATGAATTACAATAAGGTTTAATGTCTAATCCTATCGTTCATAAAAGAATATTGAAATGATGTAACTTTATCATTAACAGCTTCAGAAAATTTATAGTAACTATTTTTTTTAGCATTTTTTTTAAAAAAAAACCCAGTTATCTAATGGTTTATTTTTTCCAGCTTTAAATTTTAAGTTATAACTAATAAGATTTTTTCTCCTTTTCCCAGATTGTAGAAATGAGATAAATTAATAAATGAATTTTTCAATTTGATATCATAAACTTGAATGAAATATTTATTTACATTTTCATGCAAAGATAAAATGAAATAATTATTTCACACTACGTATTATATATATATATATATATATATATATATATATATATATTACGTAAAATTCCTTCCAATTTCTATTCATTACTACAAGTTAGTACTTGAGGTCTTTGCTATAAAATGTGGTTCTAACTTTGAAAAAATGAATTACAATAAAGAAGATATATTTATAATATTAAATATATCTTGACAATTAAAAATTTCACCAAATTATGAACTGATATTGTTTATTTTTGCCTACTATATTTTTTTCTGCAGTATTTCTTTTTTATTCATGTAAATAATAGTATAAACTTTATATGAATCATATTAAATGAAGGCATTTTCATAAAATAAACAAAAAAATTATTTTTAAGGAAAAAGAATATTTTTTTAAAGAATAGTTTTTATAACAGACATTTTCTAAGGGTTCGA